TAGCCTAAGTGAACCCCTGGGGATAAATGACCCACCATGCCAAGACCACCATGCCATGCCAACTTAGATCACACTACCTAGTCCCCTAAGATCTGTGGAGAGTTTTTATAGTTGCAGTTGTTTTGCCAAATAATCACTACCAAGAGATCCTCTGAACCTTCCTTAAGACAGGTGACATCGTTTATGAGGACATGTTACAAACTTCTAGAGCCAGCAGCAACGGATACTATCTTGCATTGACAGAAATATATATATTTAACTAAAAACCTAAAATCCAATTTAAACTAATCTCTGTTCATTTTTCCATCTTTCAATGCAAGGGAATGTCTACTTGAAATGCCATTTTTATTAGTCCTTCTTTTTGTTCTATCAGACAAAATATCTTTCTTTTAAAAAAAAAAGTTTTAGCAATAGTTTCATCATTTCCAGAATTCTGGCTTACTACAGTTTAATTGTATATAGAACATGTGTTGAGCACTTACTATGAGCCAAGCATTGTTCAGAACATACATGTATTAATTCGTTATCCACAGAATAACTGTATGAAGCCAACACTACTTCTATCCATATTTTGTAGAGGAGGAAATGGAGGCAATGTTAAAGATGACATGACTAGTAAACAGTGGAGCCGAGATTCAAACTCAGGCACCTTGACCTCATAGGCCATATTTGTCATCGATGCATAGTGCCTAAACATAACCTTCAAAGCTATGAACACTCTTTCATGTAAAGTCATTCATCTTTAATTAAAGAATAAAGAGCTAGACAAAGCAACTGTCAAGTTACATATTGATGGGAGCCAGCAATACATCCCACAGATTCTAGGTTATCCCATCCTGTTATTACATATCCTAATACTATCTGATTATGTTCCCCAAGCTGAAAAAGCAAGCCAAGCCAGCTGATTGGTTTTGGGCAACAATTGGGTGCTTTCTGGGGACAGAGAAAGGAAAGATAGCAAATGACACTTGAGTGGGCATACACAAATATGTAACAACAAATCTCACTAGTATGCACAACTGTGATGTACCAATTCTAAAATGAGAAAAAAAAATCGAATCAAGTTCTATCTGATGATAAAACACTCAATTGTTTAAGTGGTGGAAAAAAATGGCATCCAAATCCATCCAGAGAGACTAAAAGAAGTCCTTACAGCCAGGGGCATCTACAGCACATACTGGGAACTAAGGTGTTAACCCAGATACCTAGCAAAGATGAAAATCATTAGGTGATCTAGACAAATTCTGGAAACGAGAGCAGACGACTGCTGTGGAAATTTTACATTTCCAGTGCAAGGATAGGTTGGATCCTCTTAAAGGAGGCAAAATAATATAAACATACAGGTTATACAATTATATAAAATTCAAAGTTGGTACAAATTCTATAAATATGTATGTAAGCTAAACAATGAAAGTATGTTAGTGTTAAGGTGAAGGGGACCAAAACTACAGGACAAGCAATGCAGGCAGGACCATAAAATTCCAAAGAATCAGTTATAAAATATATTGAGGAAATAAACTTTACAATAAATCAAATGTACATGCAAATAAAATGCAAAACATTAGCTCACACATTGGAGGGTGGAGGTCTTGCCTAGAGCTTGAAGTTAGCCGTTTTAGCAGTAATCTGAAGAAAGGGGAATCTTTCCGATTATTATTATAAGACATTATAACTGAGGAAACCCCTGATTGTCTGCAGAGTAGAAACACTCTCCATCTAGACCATAAAAGCATCAAGAGATTGAAAGGAGCCCCTGAGAGGTGAGTTGTGAAGAGGCTTTCCACGTGGGAGCGAGTGGGTAGGAAGAAAGGAATTAAGAAATCCAGGCTAGTGCCTGTCAAAATTGTGTTTGTCAGCTTTCCTTTTCTATACCAAATACCTGAGCAACAGATACTATCTTGCATTGCCAGCAACAGATACTATCAGAATAAACTAAGCGAATAGTTTTATTTGAGATCAGTTTACAGTTCTTGACCAATTGGTTCTGTTGCTTTGGGTCAATGGCAGCGCATCATGGTAACAGTGCACAGCAGAGGAAAACCTGATGTGAGGTCAGGCAAGTGAGGTCAGGGAAAGACCTGAATCCCACCATCCCAGGTCACAGCACCAAGGACCTAAAGACCTCCCACTAGGTCCCACCTCTTAAAAGTCTCACCACCTCCCAATACTGCAAAGCTGAGAACCAATTCTTTTGAGGATACTTATCCAAATTATAGCAAAAGTTATAGAAATTCTTTGGGACTAGAGATTACCTATTCCAGACTGATAATGGTTCTTACTCTGGATAAATCATGTCTCAAATAATAAGCTTTAGATAAGTAAAGTGATACCATACTGTAAAAGTAGTTTTCGTGACCGCGTCTATTTTTTTAGTCCTTTTCATAGGTGGGTAAAAATAACCTCCATCCCTTTCTCCAGCATGATTGGACACTGAGTTTAATGGGTGGCTTGAAGGTTAATTAATGTTTGAAGGTTAATTAATGCTGAAGCAGATGAATCCATAAATACCAGTGACTAATACTATCAAAATGTATTTCTCTCTCAAGAAGAATCTCATGTGATATAGATTGCCTGGTCATCTTTCATTTAATTCCTGTGTTCCTTTATATTTACAATCTTGGGAAAGTTCCAATCTAGACATGAGAATATAAAAGAATTCAACCTGCACTTGTTGAGGGGAGGGGTGGTCTGCACTGTGTTGGCAACAGAAGCAGCAGTAAAAGTGAAAAATAAAAAATAAAAAAACTCAAGGATTGTGGATGCAGAATAACCACCAAGACACCTCAAAGATTAAAGGGTTGTTTTTGTTTGTTTATTTGTTTGTTTGTTTAATTAGATGACTTACAGGGCATCTAGGAGATAATTTTTCTTTCTCCTGTTGTTTCTCATTTTGTTTTTTCTTTGATTTTGACAAAAGAGACTTAAGTAGGCATGAGGTCTAAAGGGGCGGGGGGATTGGTAGAGAACAAGGGAAAAAATGCACAGCGATAAAATATTTATATAATATCATTAAATAGAGCTTTGGAAGAAAGGAGAGAGCATGAGGGACAAATGCGGAGATCAGTTTTTGCTAAGTTTGTATAAAGAAAGATTGAAAGAATAAGGAGATAGATAAAAAATACTCCTGTGTAGCTTACCTGGAAGTCAGGTGAGAGTGACCCCCCAGAGTCTGCTGGAGGGTGGGGGGTGGGGTGTGGAACACAGAAAGTTCACACAGCTGCTGGGAAGGGGACCCCAGAGCCCAGTGAATAAGAGGATTTATGCATTTCTTGAAGGGTTAGATTCCTGGAATTTCCAGAAGCTCTAATCAGCACAATTTAATGCTGTCTGTAGCAGCAATGCTTGGCAACCTGGCAAGGTTTTGTGAAATTGTTGAAGATGTAGCCCTCCACTAAAGCCAAGTTCATCTCACCATAAGGATTCCACCACATACCGAGTTACTATAATAGGATAAACTGACATCTCAGACCTCACAGTTTTAGAAATGACACTAAAGATAGGTTCTCGTGAAGATCACAGTTCATTCATCCTGCTTACTTTTATTTCAAAGGAGCCAAGTTGTACCATTTTCAGACGCAGATCTCTAGGGGCTTCCAGATGGAAAAAAAAAAATCTTGGAAATCACATCATTTCAGTCCTTCACCTGTTATGATTTCATTTCTAGAAATCCAAAAAATCCTTGGACACTGGGAGTCCTTAGGCTCTTCTCCATGTCTTGGCCTCCTTTGCAGGACCTGAGACCACATGGCTGAGCTCTGGTTAATTCCATATTGGTGGAAATAATATAAGTCATTCCCAGATCTAGCTCCATCTTAAATGAAGGATAAGCAGCCAATCTACATCACATTGGATTCTTCTTGAGAGATAAATGCATTTTAATTGTATTAGTCACTGATATTTGTGGATTTATCTGCTTTAGCAGCAGTCATTAATTAGTCTTCAAGTCACCTTTTAATAACCTAGCAACTCTATCCAATCACACTAGAAAAAGGGATGGTGATTTTTTTTAACCACATACCCAAAGGATTAAAAAGATAGAAGCATTTATGAAACTGATTTTTATAATATGTTAGCACCTACTTACCAAAACATTATTATTTGAGACATAATTTATAAAGCTAAACCCTCACCCTGCCTGAGAACCAAAAGGTAGAGGTTGCAGTCCAGGTCTGAAAACAATCCAGGCTGAGAGGTAACTAAAACTTCACCAGGCTCTATTTATTTACTCAAGTTGTCTTGGAGTAAATAAGTCAAGCTTAAATATTTGGTTACCTCACACTAGGTAATGAAATACAAATAGGCAATGGGAAGCAACAGGGAGGGGTGCCTAGAATGGGGCAAAGTAGTACATTCTAACAATGAAGTTCAGATCAGATGAACTCCAAAGGACAACACACCCAAATCAAAAAGCAATGTATACAGCCCCAGTTTTATTAAGGATGATTGATGTCTCAGCATCCTGAAACACTCTCAACCCACAAAGGACACTAAAAAGGTAACTTTAAGTCGTCAACCAACTTTGTAAGCTTCTAAAGAAGGTAGGAAAATGTGGAAGGAATCTCTGGAGATGGTTACTCAAAACAGTTTCAGTGTTTAAAGACATAATACCCTTGATCATTTGAAAAACTCATTTATGGTAGCCTTAATATGCCATAAAAGGGTGCTCCAAAAAAATGTGAAACAGTGCCTATTGCATGCTAAACGGCTTAGAATTGGGTGGTTCCTCCCAAACTGATGTGGGTGCACACACCAACATGAAGAAAACTGGGTTTCCATCAAGATTCAAATGCCCGTCAGGACCTTAGAGATCATACAGCCATGACTCTGGTAGAAAGAGTCAGTGATCAAAAGGCATACATTCATCTCCTGTAGAGAGGGATCTACAGCCTATGGTCCAGGATACAATCATATCACAGTTCCCTAGGCAGACTCGCACCCTCTCCATCCCCTACCCCGCAGCAGGACCCCCAAGTTGACCCGCAGGCCTATTGTCCACTCACCTGCAGAAAGCAGTGTCCAACTGGGGCATGCTCTGCAAGGGTGACATTATACACCTGCCTCCGGAAGATGGGCTCGTTATCATTCACGTCATCCACAGTGATGGTCACCAGACAGGTAGCAGAGAGTGGGGGCTCTCCAAGGTCCTGGGCCACTACTCTCAGCTCTACAGTCTCCTGGGTCTCTCGGTCTAGAGTTCGTATAGTGCTGATCACACCGCTTTCTGGATTGATGGTGAATGAAGGCTCGCATTCTGCGCTGGGCGGCAGGGCCTCTGGGTTGCAGGGAGCCAAGAGTGGGACCAGCGCATAGCGCAGCAGGGAGTGATCAGTGCCAGCCTCATCCTCATCCGAGGCGCTGACCCATACTACTGCAGTGCCCGGGGCTGCAGCCTCGGACACAGAGGCCTGGTAATGCTCCTGGGTGAAGTGAGGCGGCTGGTCATTGAGGTCAGCGACCCAGAGCAGCAGAGTCTCCACCGTGCTCAACGGAGGAGACCCCGCATCAGTGGCCACTAGTCGCAACTCATACAGATCACGGCTTTCCCTGTCCAGGGGCCCCTCAACGCAAAGGAAAAATACTCCTGGAGGTCCACCTGGCTGCAGCGCAAAGGCTCCCTCCCCACCCTCTAAGGACAGCGAGATGCTCCCTCCCCCAAGGCCCACTCCAAGCTCCCCGGTGGCATCCTCTTCCTTTTCAGGGTCACCATCTGCATCGGACACGGAGACGCGAGCCACGTAATCGCCAGGTCCAGCACCCTCAGAGACACGGGCCGCGCCTCCCTCAGTAAGGAACAACAGGTGAATAGTGGGTGGGTTGTCATTCACGTCCAGTATCGCGATGGACACGCGCACCGTGGCGATCTCAGGCTCTGCGCCTCCGTCTCGAGCCTCGACCACCAGCTGGTGCCAGGCCTGCGTCTCGCGGTCTAGAGGTCTCCGCACTCTCACCACGCCGCTCAGCTCCTCCACAGTGAAGTAGGCCGCATTGCCTACTGGTTCGCTACCTCCACCGGTCCCGGGCACTTGCCGGGCGCGGACTCTGTAGTGCACTTGGCCATTAGGTCCCAGGTCTCGGTCTGTGGCGCGCACACGACACACCTCAGCGCCCGGCTGGGCGTCCTCCCGTACTACAGCGCGGTACTCGCCCTGCTCAAAAACTGGCGGGTTGTCGTTCTCATCCAGTACGCGCAGTTCCACGCGCAGGCGACCCGTGCGTCGTGGGATGCCACCGTCCCATGCTTCAATCAACAGCTCGTGTGCCTCCAGCTCCTCGCGGTCCAAGCGCCGCAGCAGCACCAAGTCTAGGGGTTCCAGGGGCAGCGATGGTGGTGGCCCCGGAGTCCCATAGCGCAACTGGAAGAATGGTCCTGCGGGGTTCTTAGGCAAGTCGGATGATTGCACCAAGGTGTAACCCTGTGTGCTGAACAACCCGGCGTCTGGGTCGTGGGCACCTGGCAGGCGGATGGCAGTACCTGGTGGGCTGAGCTCGGATACGTTGAGTTGCAACGAGTCCCGGGGAAAACGGGGCGAGTGGTCATTCACGTCATCGACTCGGATCTCCACCTGCACCACAGCGCCCAGCAGAGTGGCAGCTACAAAGCTGTAGTGGTCCCGCTGTTCGCGGTCCAGGCACCGGGCTGTGCGGATAATGCCGGTGTCCGGGTGCACGTGGAAGTCGTCCAGCAGCGGAGAGTCATCAGAGTCCTCCGACAGAAAGAAACCGCCCCCCTCCTGCTGCTGAGCGGCTGGCAGCCCGGCCCGAATGTCACCGACCAGTGTGTCCGGCGGAAGCCCCTCGTCCACGGAAAGGCTGAGGTTAAATACCTGGGCAGATGAGCCCGAGGACGCCCACAACCACGCGTGCACCAAGAGGCCGAACAGGGAGCGCTGCGCCCTGGCGCGGCTGCCACCGCCCGGCATCCCTCGGGGTGACCCTCTCCTCCCGCCGAGCGGTAGGCGCTCCCAGACGGGAACTCCCCGCTGCTGACGCCCTTCTCCCATCTTTCTCCCAGAAGGGCTCATTCTCCGCGACCTCCTCGAGAAGGCACCGGATAACTGCCAGCTTGTGGCGGGATCGCGGAAAAATCCAGGAGCTTCTTTCAGTGTCTGAGCTAAAGAAGAAAACACTTTCGCAAACAAACCAACAGACCCAGGAGTTCCCGGGGTTACATCAGCAACTGGTGCAAACGTCCTCTGCCTGCAGCACACACAGATGGGAAAGCTGTAGCTGGTTCTGCCGCTGCAGCCACCTCTTCAGCCCCTGGATTTCTTTAAACGAGTCTCATCTCTTTTTCTCTCTCCTTTTATTCATTTTACATCTGTTCCTTGTTCTGCTCGGCTGGTTGTTTCCCCCTGGTAAAGTCAGGTGCATTATTTCCTTTGCCAAAAAGGAGGAATTTATTTAAAGCGCGCACGCACGGAGAGGATGGGGATCCGGCTGGGAAGGGGGTGGAGTAAGGGCGGGGAGGCCTGGAGTGAGGGCGCCGGGCGGGAGGGAAGGAGGGAGGGGCGGGCCGGCTGCGGCCCTGTTGGCTGCTCCGGGGGCGGTCGCTCATCGCAGCGTCTCAGGACGCGAAGGACCACGCAGCTCCCCCTTGGATCCGGCTTCTGCCGCCTCACTCCCCTCCCAGCGCATGACGCGGCTCCCAAGAGGGCGAACTCCAACCTGCGAGCCCAGGCTCTGCAGCAGGACCGAGGAGGACGAAATGGGAAAGAACCAGGAGATTTGCACAGTGGGACCGGCGGGTCGGGGACACGCAGGCGGGGTGTCTGCCGAGGTTTTGCGTGCCAAGTGCTGTGGGTGTGGAGAGGTGAAGCGAGCATCTTCTCCACGCCTCTCCCTTCAGTCGTCTTGACTGTCCCTCCATCAGGCCTGACGCCTGGCTCCGGATGAGCAAAGGTGGGGATTATAATCACTTTAGGGGGCCAAACTTGTATTTTCCGTTTGGCAGGAAAGACTCGTCCCCAGCAGAAGGACAGATGGAGTCAAAGGCCGATGCACAGCTGGATCCAGGATGCCTGCAAAGGGGGTGAAGGAGGAACTTGAAAAACCTTCGAGAAAACCCGATAAATATGTGACACACATGGTGTGAACCACGCTGTATTATGCCGCGCTACTATTCAGCGACATGTGAGCGTCTTGTCACTCCCCTCTGCCACCAGGAGTGACAATAGATTCGGTTTGTGAATCTTGTTTATGTATTCAGCGCCATCATAATACACGCAGGATGTCTTATGACGCTGATTAATGGGCAGAAAGACCGGTGGCTGAGGCCTCCCCACCTCCTCCACCACCCCTAAGCAAGGAAGTTCGCAGGGCAGGCCACTTACTGAAACCACTTTCAAAACCAGCTGCTGGCTGAGCCAGAAGTAAATGCCAGTCAATCTCCGTCGTCTCAGGCTGCCTTTCAGTTATCCATAATAATCGGTTGAAATTGATGAATGGCCTCTAATAAAGTATGCTCCGAGGAAGAAGTCTCTGCCCTCTTAAGAATGGCCGACCGTATTTAGCGAATGGTTTCTGCAATTTTACATCTCGGCCAGAGGGAAGAATTATTTACCTAGATACTGTTCTGTCCTTTAGGGAGGACCAAAAGCTTTGCATAGTGGTTCATTATAGCACCAGTAAATTGCCTTTTTATATTCAGTGGCATATATACATTGTTAATCCACAGCCATGCCATCTTCTTTACCTCTGACAAAAATAGTAAAACAATTTACATTCTAGCAGTTATGTTGCATGCAAGTGAAGACATTATTAAAATAAGTTCAGCTTCCTTTTACCAATGAAATCTCCGTACCTATTAATTTTGGTATGAATCTTTGGGGTCTTCTTTCTCCTCATCCTCTGCCATCTCACTGTGAGTGAGGAATCCTTCCTACCTCCACTCTGGCCCCTTTAAAGTAGTTCTCCACCAAGCATCTAAATTGAAGGTACCTCAAGTCCTTTTACCTCCAGTTAAGAACCTGCAATATAATTCCATTATATTTGGTTTATAATTTGGCTTATAATTCCTTCCTAAGTTATGAGACTGTACCCACCTTACTGTACTCCTTCCACACCACCTCTCTAGAGTAGCAATACTGCCTTCTATGTGATCTTGATGTCATTGAATTATTAAAGCTTTCTTTCCCTAGTTATTTTTTTCTCCTTTGCAAAGATCTGGATTTTTATTTTTTTTTCCACTCAGGTCTCAACTCAGATGCCAAATGTTTAGAGGGTTCTGTTCTGATCACCCTACTTCAAGGAGCCCCTCCTCCATAAACTATATAGCCTCACATCCTATTTTATTCAGTGTCTATCAGTTCCTAAAATCAACTTGTTTTATTCATCTATTTATTAGAGTATTACAATCTGACCCTCTCTATGTACTTGAAACACTGCTTTATCCCAGCACCTGGAACAATACTTTAGCACATAATAGGTCTCTATTCATTAAATATGTATTAGATGACAGTTGGTTGAACCAATGATATGTGGATGAATGTGTCTGTTAAAGTAGCAATTTGAAGCCATAACTAAGAATTAACTGTGAATTCTATCTTTGTGACCTTTTCATTTTAATCATCCTATGTGGTTTCTTGAACTTATCTTTGAGCTTCTTCAACTTATAGTATAAACTGTACTGTTATCCAATATTGTTTAAACATAAAAGAAAAGCAGGATTTTTTTTCTCTCTCTCTTTCCCAGACACATTCTTTGTAAATAGCGGTTTAGTTTAGAAACAAATGGAAAGTCAGGTGTTTCAAACATCTGTTTTTCCATTGGTTCTTTAGCTTTGTAATACTAGTGTGCCATTTAAGGTTTCCTGCTAACTTTACAATACCCTTCATTGAATGTCCTGTGTAATATCCTAGAATTGATAACTTTATGTTGCATAGCAAAATAAATAAATGCATTTCTCAAATGTGTGAAAAATAAATTTTGGTAATACAGGCACCAACAGCCTACAAGAAATAGGGCAAGGTCTGACCCTTTTGAAAGAAGCACAACCACGTAATGGCAACCCTCATTATGTGCTATAATTTGGAACCAGTAACTTAAATCTTATCAAGCTTCTATTTCCTTCTTTAAATTTGGGGGGATTTATCTAATTTACAAGTATGTTGTGAGCCCTAAATGAAACTGTGCATGTGAGTCGGCAATAGAAAACATCCAGTAAATATTATTACTCCTGCTTTCTTTTATTGGTGTGGTGAAAATGTTTTAGGGGTAAATTATTTTGGGATTCTCAGTAATATCAAATTCTCACTTTTTAGCCTGCAGAGCATATGAAGCAGGAATCATGAACAGAATCATGAACAGAAACTCACGGACAGAAAGACTCAGGGCAGATTTTTCCCTTGGTGTTATATGATTTCAGTGATACAGGAAGTCCCTCTTCAAAATAATTTTCTCTTATAATGTAGATAGTGCTCAGATTTGTAAGAGTCAACTGACATAGTTACCAAGCACTCAAAGCAGTATTCAAAGCACCTCATCTCCCCTGTAACAATTATCCCCCATCTTGCAGATAAGGAAGCTGAGGTTCAGAGACATGGGAAGTAATATGGCCAAAGTCACACAGATAGTAAGTGATAGAATGGAACTTTAACCTAGAAAGTTTTGCTTCAGTGTCCATGGTTTTCACTGGTCATTTTTTTTTTGCCCTCTCCACTGGTCATTCATCATCTCTGTGATTTTCTTTAAGCTGGTTGTCTTCAGAATTCTAAAGTGATATAATAAGTTGGGGAAAAACTTGGGAGAATTGCAGGAAGAGTAGCTCGGACAGACAGGACATTTGTGGGATTAGTGGGGAAGCACAGGAGAAGAGCTACAGGAAGTGGAGTGCAACAAAAAGAAATCAACTATTTAGCCAGGAACAGGGGCACACGCCTGTAATTCCAGGGGCTCTGGAGGCTGAGGCAGGAGGATCTCGAGTTCAAAGCCAGCCTCATCAAAAACAAGGTGCTAAGCAACTCTGTGAGACCCTGTCTCTAAATAAAATACAAAATAGGGCTGGGCATGTGGCTCAGTGGTCTAGTGCCCCTAAGTTCAATCTTCAGTAACCCCCAAACTCCTGCCAAAAAAAGAAATCAACTATTTAGAAATTATATTCAAAATCAAGTGAGGAGAATCCTGTGAAACACAAAGAATTTATTCCCATCTTCTCCTCAGGGGGAGGCCCCCTGAGGATTAGGAAGGGTGCTGTACAGTGGGGACCCCTCTTACCCATTGAGGCTCATGTGTCATCTTTCTGGAAAAATTTGACCCAAAGAGTGTTGAGAGTTTGAGACGGTTACATTTTATGTGTCAGGTTGTCTAGGCAATGGTACCCAGTAGTTCAGTCAAATACCAGTCTAGATATTACTGTGAAGATATATTTTTAGATGGGGTTAACATCTGCAACCAGTATACTTAATGTCAAGGAGATTGTCCTCCATAATGTGGGTGGGCATCATTAATCAGTTGAAGGTCTCCACAATGGAGATTTCTTGCAAAAGAAAATATTCTGCTTCTAGACTATAATATAGAAATTCTGCCTGAGTATCCAGTGTGCTCAACTGCTTGTGAGCTTTCTGTCACTCTAACAAAATGCCTGAGAAAAGGTATATTTGGCTCACAGTTTTAGAGGTTTCAGTTTATGACTAGTTGATCTCATTGCTTGGAGCAAGATAATACATCATGCAGGTAGCACATAACAGAAGAAAATGGTTGACCTTATGGCTGGGAAGCAAAAGGGAGGACAAAGAAATAATGAGAGTCACATGATCTCCTTCAAAGACTTGTCCACAATGTCCTTGAAGATCTCCCACCAGGCCCTATCTCAAAGGTTTTCCCACCTCCCAATAGTGTCACCCTGGGAATGAAATATTCAATACATAGGCCTTTGAGGGACTTTTCAGATCCAAATTATAATACTATCCTATAGATTTTATTTCGTGAATCCCTAAAATTGTATGAGTAAATTACTTAAGTAAGTAAATAGTATATATGATAGAATAATTTGTATTTCTCTGGTGACTCCTAACACAGAGTTTATTAAGAAGTGGAGAGGATTTAGTATTTAATATTATATCTGCACTTAATATCCACCTATATTTTATGTTCTTAATTTCTTAAAATCAGAATCTTAGATGTCATACAGTAACACTCTACCACTGAGCCACATCCACAGTCCCATCACAGACATCTTCAGAGGCAATCAAGTTCACCAAATTCACCTCCTTACCTTTGACTCTCAGTCATCCAAAAGAGAACATTTTCTTTTTCTTCTTTCTGTTGAGAACCAATTCCACATACTCATTCTAAATTTTCCCACTCAACAGAATGTAATTAAATTTTACACAGCATTAGATACAGATATAGACACACAGTTTTTCTCATCTGCAAAAAGGGAGGAAAAAAGGGTCAATCTTTTCCTTTTCTCCCCCCCCCCCCACTTTTTTTTTTTT